AAGAAATATAAAGATTAAAATGAAACTTAATGAAATATAGAATAGAAAAACAGTTTAAAAAATCAACCATACCAAATGCTGGTTTAAAAAGATTAGCTAGACTGACAAGGAAAAACTAGAGAAGACCCAAATAACTAATATTATGACAGGGAATATTAATTCCAACCTCACAGAAATAAAATCATAATTCTATATAGTAAAAGCATAATATGCAAATCGACCAAACAGTCAATTGGTTGCTATGATGTGCATGGACCACCAGGGGGCAGATGCTCAAAACAGAAGCTAATCCCTGGTGATCAGTGTGCTCCGACAGGGGGAGTGCTGCTCAGCCAGAAGCCTGGCTGGCAAGCACAGCACAGTGGCGGGAGCCTCTCCCACCTCCAAGGCAGGGCTAAGGAGCAGCGAGCCTGGCTGGTGAGCACAGTGGCGGTGGCCTGATCCTCTCACGCCTCTGCTTCAGGTGAGAGGTAAGGAGTGAGGGGTCCCAGACTGCAAGAGCCTCGGACTGCAAGAGGGCTGCTGACAGATTGAGCCTAAGCTAGCAGTCAGACGTCTCCCAAGGGGTCCCAGACTGCAAGAGGGCACAGGCCGGGGTGAGGGATCTCCCAGCCCCAGTGCACAAATCTCATGCACTGGGCCTCTAGTTAGGCTATAATATGAACAAGTGTATCCCAACAAATTAACCTAAGTAAAATGGAAAGTTTCCTAGAAATACACTACTGAAACTCTATTAAGAAGACAGACAATCTGAATGAATCTTTTGTCCACTATAAATTGGTAGATTTTAATTTTTAGAGCATTTTTAGGTTTACAGAAACATGAGCAGAAAGCACATAGAGTTCCCATCTACAACTCCCCAGCATTTCTTCTATTATTAGCATCTTGTATTAATGTGGTACATTTGTTCCAACTGATGAACCAAGATTGACACATTATTATTAAGTATTATTAATGTAATGTATATCCCATTACAGCATCACACACAGTAGTTTCACTACCATAAAAATCTTCTGTGCTTTACTTACTCATCTCTCTCCCCCCTCACTCCTGAACTTCTGGCAATCACTAATGTCTTTCTCTATATATAGTTTTGCCTTTTTTAGAATATCATATTGTTGGAATCGTACAGTATACACCCTTTTCAGACTGGCTTCTTTCTTTTTTTCTTTCTTTTTGTAATTTTTTTTATTGCTTTTTAAAGAGAGAGGCAGGGAGAGGGAGAAGCGAAAGATAGAAATATCAATGAGAGAGAAATATCAGTTGGTTGCCTTCTGCATGCCCCTTATTGGGAATTGAGCCTGCAACCTGAGCATGTGCCTTGACCCGGAATCGGAACAGCAACTTCTTGGTGCATGGGTCGACGCTCAACCATTGAGCCACATTGAGCCACATCAGCTGGGCCTGGCTTCTTTCACTTAGCAATGTATATTAAAGATTTCTCTGTCTTTTCGTGGCTTGGTAACTCATTTCTTTTTCTCACTGATTAGTATTTCATTGTCTGGATATGTCACAGTTTGTTTATCCAGTCACCTACTGAAGGACATCTGGTTGCTTCCCATTTGGGGCAGTTATGAACAAAGCTTCTATAAACATTTGTGTGCAGGTTTTTGCGTGAACATTAATTTCCAACTCATTTGGGTGAATATTTAGGTGTGCAGTTACTGGATCATATGGTAGACTGTGTAAGAAACTGCCAGATTATCTTCCAAAGTGACTACCATTTTGTACTCCTACTTACAAGTAAAGAGAGTTCCTGTTGTTCCACATTCTGGCTAACATGGATGTCAGTGTTTTGGATTTTAGCCATTCTAATAAGTGTGAAGTAGTATCTCATTGTTTTAATTTTTTTAATCCTCACTCAAGGGTATGCTTAGAGGAAGCGGAGGCTGAGGGAGGGGCAGAGAGTAAGGGGGTGGGGGGAGAGTGAGACAGAGACATCTATTGGTTGCCTCCCATATGGATATATAACCCGAAACCTACATATGTACCATGACCAGGAATTAAACCTGCAACCTTTTGGTATACAGGATGTTGCTCTAACCAACTGAGCCATACCAGCCAGCAACATTGGTTTAAATTTTATTACTCTAATAACCCTAATATGATATAGAAATATGAGTTTACTTTTATTTTCCTGGTATCGACAAGGACCTTTAGAATATATTGGGGTTTTTTTGTTTTGTTTTTTTTTGTTTTTTGTGGGCTATTTTATTTTATTGCGGTGACATTACTCAAAATGAACATAGAGGTTTCATGTGTAGATTACTAATTTACAAAATCTGTATAGAGAACCCTGTGCCCACCACCCAAAGTCAAAGCTCCTGTCACCCTCATATTAGGATATATTGACTAGAAGAAATGACCACAAACATCCTTTTTTCATTCCTTATCTTGGAATAAAAGGTTTCAACATTTCACAAGTTAGTATAAATTTGTAGTATATTTTCTTTAGATATTCTTTATCAAATTAAGGAAATTATCTACTTATTCTAGTTTGCTGAGACTTTATTTTGAGTGGGTGTTGAATTTATCAAACAAATTTTTTGTACCTATTTTCTAGGTAGGGCAATCTACTTGGGGTTTTTAGGGTGTCTTGAATTCATTGCTTGATATTATTTGTTGATTTTGAAAATTGCTCAGCCATTATCTTCAAATGTAATTTCTGCTTCATTCTTCTTATCTTCTCTCCTTCTGAAAATCCAATTACACATATATTAGACCTCACTAAATTTTCTTTGTCTCCCACTTTGTTTTACATATTTTCCATTCTTTTTTCTCTATGTACTTTATTCTGGGTATTCCTTCTAATCTGTCTTCCAAATCTATTATTTTTCTCTTTATATGTTTCTAATGCATTATTAAAACACATCCATTAAGTTTTTAATTTTTTAGTTCTACATTGTTTTGTCACATAATTATCATGGTATTTTAAAGCCCATAACTATTTTTTTAAAAATATATTTTATTGATTTTTTACAGAGAGGAAGGGAGAGAGATAGAGAGCCAGAAACATCGATGAGAGAGAAACATCGATCAGCTGCCTCCTGTACATCTCCCACTGGGGATATGCCCGCAACCCAGATACATGCCCTTGACCGGAATCGAACCTGGGACCTTTCAGTCCGCAGGCCAACGCTCTATCCACTGAGCCAAACCAGTTTCGGCTAAAGCCCATAACTATTAATTTCACTATCTGTAGCCTCCATGGGTTGCCTGTTTTTCCTTTCCTTTTTTTAATATATATATATATTTTCTCTTGTGTCCTCCTATGTTTGGTTACTTAATTGGTTTTTAAAAATTTTAAACCAATTTATTTAGGTATGATTGACTTACAAAAAGCATACATATGCATACATATTCAATGTATACAAGTTGATGAGATTGATGAGCCTCGTTACTTATTTGTAGGTATGTATATATATATGTGAGCTTTACATTGTATTTGCAAAATTGTGTGTAGAAATTATGAGTGTATAACGTAATGCTATCTTGCTCTGGATATGATTTATGTTTGTTTTTGCCATTCTTTTAGGCTCCAGGATTATCTCAAACCAGTTTAATGATTGAGATGATTCAAAATGAGTTACAGTTCCTGTGAGAGCCTGTTCTTCTAGTTTGCCCTACTCCTAGGGTAGTGGCATTGGGAATCTTAACCCAATGAAAGGAGGATTGACCTGTGTCCTTCTACTTTAGAAAGCCCTGATACCTACTGTGTCCTCCTAGCCTTATAAGGGCATATGACTTATCAGAGGGCCTGACTCAAATATTTTTTAAATGGACAAATGAGCTTACTATCAGCCAGGTATTATACTACTCACTGAAATACAGATTAAACTTTGTCCAATATGGAACCAATTTTAGAATTACAACTTCTGAATTTAACAAGAGTTTGAATGTAATAATATCATTTTAAGCACTCCATATTTAAGTGATACAACACTTGGATGGATGGAATCTTCAAAATACTTGTTACAAATAACCTACAAATGGTCTCTTTTTCTGGACTTCATATGCATTTTCATTTTATTGATTCTTCTGTTAAAATATAATTCATCTTAAATGTCTTCATTTGACATTCTTTTTATCTCATTTATTTAGCAAGCATTTCTTTAAACATCTGCTATATTCCAGAAACCCTCCTAGATGTTGAGGTTTTAAATATGAATGTCCTTAAGGAGTTTGGAGTCGAGGAGGGAAGTAATGAGGCTGTGAAATAATGGCTGTATAGAAGCTATCTCTAAGGTGCTGGGTGAACAAAGCTAGGAAATGTTAGTCTTGAGGGACAAGTAAGAGTTGGAGAGGTGACATATTACGATTTAGGGAATTATTTTCCAGTATGTTAATAATATCCTAACAAGCATTTCAGTTTCTCTGCTAGCTCATTAATACTTTTGTTTCCTTTGGCATGCTTTACGATAAGGATTCGCAAATATTTTTTTGTAAAATGCCAGATAGTAAAATTTGAGGTTTTTAAAGCCACAAGTTTCTGTCACAAGTACTCTGCCATTTTAGTGCCAGAGCAACAATATAATTCATAAACAAGTAAGCATGGTATGTTCCACTAAAGCTTTAATATGCACATTGGAACTGGAATTTCATACACTACTTTTCATGTCTCACAAAATAGTCTTCTTTTCCTTTTTAACCAATCAATTTAAAAACCATTCTTAACTTGCTGTACAGAAAAGGCAAGGGGCTGGATTTGACCTGTGGGCCATTGTGTGCATCTCTTGTTTAAGGCTATTTATAGTTAGAGATATTTATATGTCCAACTTAAAAAATGTATATACTTTCATCACTAAAGTAACACATGCTTGGTTTAAAACCAAAGGGTTCCATACCCTATAGTAATTGCTTAGAACCATTAGAAATTGTTTCTCTCTGTATATTAATTTTTTATCATAAATGAGATTTCATTATACTTATTGTTTGGCACTTAATCGTGCACTTAATAATTTGGCTTTTTAAAATTGATTTTGTGCTGTTGTGATTTTAAGGTGCAAAAGGCAATTGAAGAAGAAAATTGCTGCTTTGGGACTATTGATACCTGGTTGTTACATAAGCTCACAAAAGGTAAAGATGATCTGGTAACTCTATCTCAAGTAACTGAAATTTGACTAATAGAAATGACTTATCTAAAAATAGTAGAAGTTAACTATTTTTTCCCTTCCTATAGCCCAGGCATGTTGCCTTTTGGTTCCCTACTAACTACATGTTATAGTAAAGCTAGATTAATTTCAGATTTGTTGGAAGAGGATGGTGTTTTAAAATTATGGTTAATCCTCAAATATATGACTGAGGAACAGTCTTAATTTTAAGAGTGCTAAAATTTTAGTTTAGTACCAAATCTCCCATTTTGCAACTGGGTATAACTATAGGCGATCACATTGCATCTCTGCACCCCCTTCCTCATCTTTAAACTGGGGGTTATAACATGAAAGTGTCTGTGAAAGTACTTCTGTAAATTATGAAAGTTCATAAAGATTAAGTGGGAAATTGCTTTGGAGACTTTTCACTGGAAATACATATTTTGAAATGAACTTTCAGGCCAAATAAATGGTCTAGATCAGTGGTTGGCAAACCGTGGCTTGCGAGCCACATGCAGCTCTTTGGCCTCTTGAGTGTGGCTTTTCCACAAAATACCACGTGTGGGCGCGCATGTACAGTGCGATTGAAACTTCGTCCTCCATGCACAGAAGTCGGTTTTCGGCTTGGGCGAGTCTATTTTGAAGAAGTGGCTTTACAAGAAGTGGGGGGTGTCAGTCGGTCGGGTGATGGGAGACGCAGCGCAGGGAAGGTACATTGTTTTGAGGTATGTTCGCTGAGGTTGACCCCTTCCAACTCTCCCATCCACACTCGTCTATCTGAAAAAAGTTATACAAGACAAGTGTGGATGGGAGAGTTGGAAGGGGTCGACCTCAGCGAACGTACCTCAATCAGATTGAGGAAGTTTTTAGCAAAGGCCAGCTTAGGAGTACCCTAATTAAGTTAATAACAATGTACCTACCTATATAGTTTAAGTTTAAAAAATTTGGCTCTCAAAAGAAATTTCAATCGTTGTACTGTTGATATTTGGCTCTGTTGACTAATGAGTTTGCTGACCACTGGTCTAGATCAGTGATGGGCAAACTGCGGCTCGGCAAACTGCGGCTCACGAGCCACATGTGGCTCTTTGGCCCCTTGAGTGTGGCTCTTCCACAAAATACCAACTTCTGCGCATGGGCCATGAAGTTTCAGTCGCACTGTATGTGCACGTCCGCACGTGGTATTTTGTGGAAGAGCCACACTCAAGGGGCCAAAGAGCCACATGTGGCTCATGAGCCGCGGTTTGCCGACCACTGGTCTAGATTATAAACTAGAGATAAGTGTTTACACTACCTGATAATAAAAGATTATTTCCAATGTAAATTTAGGTTCTGAATTTGCCACGGATTTTTCAAATGCCAGTACCACTGGACTTTTTGACCCATATGAGGTAAAGGGTTTTCTCCCTCCTTCTTGAATCATCACTTTTTGTGTAATTTAATTTGGATTCTGATGATATATTTTTATGTTCAGATGTGTTGGAGCAGCTTCATTACTTCTCTGCTTTCAATACCACTCTCTCTCCTGCCTCCCGTGAGGGATACAAGGTAATAATGAACATTAGACTTAGAAACCAGCAAAATAGTCCTTGAATTAATTTTGCCTTAGTGAGGAAAAAGCATTTGATTTAAAACTAAAAAGTATTTGGTTTACATGTTTGGGGTACTTTATGAACATATGTTATACTAGAGGCCTGGTGCACGGATTTGTGCACTGGTGGGATCCCTTGGCCTACTCTGCAGGGGTCAGCCCGAAACTGGCTTTCCGACATCCCCCGAGGGGTCCTGGATTGAGAGAGGGTGCAGGCCAGGCCGAGGGACCCCACCGGTGCACAATCAGGGCCGGGGAGGGAACACAGGAGGTCTCCAGGGCATGTTCGGCCTGTCTCACCCAGTCCCGATCGGCTGGACCCCAGCTGCAAGCTAACCTACTGGTCAGAGCATCTTCCCCCTGGTGGTCAGTGCGCATCATAGCAACTGGTCCAATGGTAGGACACTTAGCATATTAGGCTTTTATTATATAGGACTAGAGGCCTGGTGCACGTGGGTGGGGGAGTCCCTCAGCCCGGCCTGTACCCTCTTGCAATCCGGGACCCCTCAGAGGATGTCCGACTGCCGGTTTAGGCCCGATCCTGATCCTGGGGATCGGGCCTAAACCGGCAGTTGGACATCCCTCTCGCAATCTGGGACCACTCGCCCCTAACTGCTCACCTGCCTGCCTGCCTGCCTGTTTGCCCCTAACTGCTCGCCTGCCTGCCTGCTCAGTGAGCATCATAGTGACCAGTCATTCCAGTCATTCCACCAGAATGGTCACTTAGGCTTTTATATATATAGATAACTTTTTGGCCGATGCTAAAAAACCATTTCCTAAATTTTAAAATTAACATTTCTAGAGTTATAACTTACTTTTAAATCAATTTTATTTGAAGCTTCAATTTTGGATCAGTGGATGAAGAGATATTTGGTGTGCCTATACCAATAATGGCCTTGGTAAGTTGAAAATTTGAGGTTTTCTCCTGGTATAGTATAAAGTAAATGAATATATATGAATAGTTGGGATTAGATATGAGATAAAAAAAAGATCCTTGCGATTAAAATTAAAGCATTTTTTTATTTTCTTTATACCTTGTATATAATCAAAAGTATTTTCTCTATTCTGGAAAGAGGACTGCTAAACACTTCACAGCCTTTTCTGACTTCTCTATATATTATTTTTTAGGAAACTGTTACATTTTTAAAAAATATTATATTCTGAGTAATATTGGTTTATATTTGATATTCTGAGATATAACAACAATAATAGGGCCAATGCTTAGTTTATATTCAAGACAGTGTAACCATAAACAATGATATGGCACTTAAAGAAGTTGTATTTACATTTTATAAGTCTTTAGCCCGCATCTGCCAGTAGAGAAACTCATGGAAGAATGAAAAATTAGCTGTTACTGGTGTTTGAAGGTTCTTTCTTGATTCTACTTTCTCTCTGGATGAGTGATTCATAACTTGGAGAATCCCAAAGATTTACCACCTGATTGAGAGGCTGTGTATATCTTGCCTTTGATTTCCTGTAATGGCTTAACCAGGAAGTATAGACCATGTCCCTAGATGGACAGTCACCGCAGTAGGTAGAGGAAACGAGGGAAGGGGAATTTAATGCCCAAGTTATAAATTCCTTTCATTTAGAGCGGATCAGTCTTATTCAATCTAGGGGTAGGCTCAGATTTAGATTTAGGTATGGCTGGGAAAACTATAAGATTAGTAAAGTGTTCGTCACTTTAATTTTGCTGTATATGTAGCTACATTTAACTATATTAACAGAATGTTATACTTTTTCTTTTATCAAAAATGTATCATTGGAAGAAGTATGGTATTGAGTTACATCTATTTCTAGTTAAACATACACCTGTCACTTTTGCTAAAAGAAATATGTGAGGTCAATTATTTTGACTGAGTGAAACTGCTTATAAGATATAAACAAAATATCTTGGGGAGGGTTTCTTGCACAATTTTTATTCTGACTTTTATTTCTAAGGTTATTCCTATGATACTTAAAACCCATGAAGTAGGTTGCTGAGTAAAAATTGCTAAGGCCTATTAGTTCTCTGCCCAAAGTTAATCCTAGAGATTCTTAACCTATAGTTATTGCTCCCTGTTCTCTCCAAACTTTTTTTTCAAGGAAAAGGAAAAAAGAGAAGATGCTGAACCATGAGAATACATTCAGTGAGCCAGTGGGATGCAGTGAAATGAGTCACAGCTAGGGTTCTAAGGTCTCTGAATTTTTGGCAGGTGGCCGACCAGCAGGCAGCCATGTTTGGAGAGTGCTGCTTCCAGATGGGAGACGTGAAGCTGACCATGGGGACTGGGACATTTCTGGACATCAATACTGGAAGTAACCCTCAACAGAATGTTGGCGGTAAATAGTTAGAATTTATCCTATTGATTAATAAAATACCACTTTTTGAAAACTTAACTTTTATGATAGTATTTACTCATTTTATATTAAGGATATTATCTAACATACTTTAAATTATTATTCTTAGAGACAGTCAATCCCCATCTTCCTTTATCTTTAAATTAAAAGCATGAAAAATGAGAGAGATGTTATAGAAAAATTAAGACGGATTAGGGTATTTTGGTTAGCTTTCTAAAAGTTTACTTATAATATGTGTTTAATACATCTTTCTAAACCTCTAAATACTGTTTATGTGTGAGAAATAATTTTAATTTTGTGAATTTTTTTGAGGTAGTTGTTCTCAACTAGTGATCCTTGAATATGAATGGCAATTACTAAGAATTTTTTCTCCCTAATGGGAAAAATCTTGGGATGTATAATTAAGAAATTTCAGTTGTGTAACTATACCCAGAATGGCTGGGGGTGCTTAGTCTGACCTCTAGTGCCCTAACATGGTTACTAAAAGGTGGTACCTTCCATCCCCACTAAATCTGTTCCTTTTCCCCTACCTTGGAAAATAGAAGCTACAAAATGTTTATCATTGCATGAGGTTGTTTTACCTTAGGAGCATTATTTAGAAACCACAGATAAATGCAATAGATAAGACAGTTCTCAGCTAACCAATGCTATATAATAAAAGCCTAATATGCTAAGTGTTCAATCGTCCATTCAACCAATCAAAGCATAATATGCTAATGATATGCTAAGGCCATTCAACTGCTCACTATGACGTGCACTGACCACCAGGGGGCAGACGCTCCAACTGGTAGGTTAGCTTGCTGCTGGGGTCTGGCCAAGCAGGACTGAGCGAGATGGACCGGACATGCTCTGGAGCCCTCCCACGGTCCCTCCCTGGCTGACCAACCTCCTGCGTCCCTCCCTGGCCCCAGTCATGCACTGGTGGGGTCCCTCAGCCTGGCCTGCACCCTTTCACAATCTGGGACCCCTTGGGGGATGTCGGAGAGCTGGTTTTGGCCTGATCCCACAGGCCAGGCCAAGGGACCCCACTGGTGCATGAATTCAAGCACTGGGCCTCTAGTTTCATAATAACCTTTTATTTCTCAATTCAAATATTATTTCTGTGTTTCCAGAGACATTGATGTACAAAGCTAATAAAAGCTAATATTTATAATGTGCCAGGCATTGTGCTAAGTTCTCTTTATGTGTTAACTCAGTTTATGCTCACAAGAGCTCTCTGAGGTAGACCATTTTAGTTGAGGAAACTGATGCTAAGAGGTTAGAAATTTTTTTTTAAATATATTTTTATTCATTTCAGAGAGTAAGGGAGAGGGAGAGAGAGAGGAACATCAATGATGAGAGAGAATCACTGATCGGCTGCCTCCTGCACACCCCCACAGGGGATTGAGTCTGCAACCCAGGCATGTGCCCTTGACTGGAATCGAACCTGCTACTCATCAGTCTGCAGGCTGACACTCTATCCACTGACCCAAACCGGCCAGGGCAGTTAGAACCTTTTAAGACCACAGCTAGTAAAGGAGAGAAGACTGGGATTTGACCCCAGCCATTCTGACTTCAGAACCACTTTGCTAGTTTATTAGTTAATCAAAATTTTCTATTGTAGATGTCTGCAATGAATTATCCATTTACGATATGAATTACATTGTTTGTTTTTAAGGCTTTTATCCGTTGATTGGGTGGAAGATTGGACAAGAGGTTGTATGCATAGCTGAAGGCAATGCAGGAGACACTGGTACTGCCATAAAATGGGCTCAGCAATTAGGTAAGTTATCCTTTACACAGATTTCACAGGCCAGACTTAAAGAAGTTAAGAATGCCACAGGATCGCAGATCAGTAGGAAATGATGACTTGTTCAAATGAAACAAAGTAAAATGACATGTGCTAGAAGAAAATATAGGATGTTATTTTTATGATATTAGGATGGTAAAAGCTTAGGTGTTAAGGCCAGATGCCATAAAGATAACAATAAATTTATGCATATAAAATGTTAGAATGTGTAGGGAGAGAGTTGCCATAAAGCAAAACTAAAAGACATATTGGTGAGAACAATTTGTAGTGTATGTCAGAAAAATTAAAAAGATGATAAAAAATTGACAAATCAAATGACTAAAAGTGTTCAAATTCAATAATGAAAGAAATACACATTTAAAAAATTATGTCACCTCTCATCAGAGATTAATTAGTTTGATATGCTCAGCATTGGTGGGAATGTAGAGATAATAATATTATTTTTTCCATTGGGATGACTGTTAATTATTAGTATGGCCTTGCCAAGCTAGTGTTGCTCAGTGGTTGAGTGTCAACCTATGAACCAGGAGGTCATGGTTCAATTCCCCATCAGGGCACATGCCTGGTTTTCGGGCTTGATTCCCCAGTAGGAGGCATGCAGGAGGCACCCATCAGTGATTGTTTCATCATTGATGTTTCTATCTCTCTCTCCCTCTCCCTTCCTCTCTGAAATCAATCCTATAAAATAAAGAGGCAATATGCAAATTGACCATCACTCCAACACACAAGATGGCTTCCCCCATGTGGACACAAGATGGCTGGCAGGGGAGGGCAGATGTGGACGATCAGGCCAGCAGAGGAGGGCAGTTGGGAGGGACTTGGCCTGCAAGGGGTGGCAGTTGGTTGCGATTAGACCTGCAGGGGAGGGCAGTTAGGTGTCGATCCGGCTGGCAGGGGAGTGTTTTGGGGGTGATCAGGCTGGCAGGCAGAAGCAGTTAGGGGCAACAGGCAGGCAGGAGGGCTAGCGGTTGGGAGCCAGCAGTCTTGGATTGTGAGAGGGATGTCCCAGATTGGAGAGGGTGCAGGCCGGGCTGAGGGATGCACATACTCACCCCCCATGCACGAATTTCATGCACCAGGCCACTAGTAAAAGTATATTTTTAAAAAATTACTATGGCCTTTCTGGAGGACCATCAGGCAGTATGATTGAATGCAGACCCTTTACCAGGCCTGCAGGAGAGGACAGTTTGGGGGGACCCAGACCTGCAGGGGAGAGCAGTTAGGGGCAACCAGGCCAGCAGGGGAGGGCAGTTGGGGGCAGACCAGGCCTGCAGGGGAGGGCACTTGGGGGCGACCAGGCCGACAGGGGAGGGCAGTTATATTTTTTGTTTTATTTTTTGTTTTCTATAGAAATAGACAGGTGTGCAAAGATGTATACATACATGGGTGTTTAATGCAGCAATTGGAAATAAGTTCCTATCTATACTAATAAAAGGATAATATGCTAATTAGACCAGTTCAACCGGACATCTTCCGGATGTCCAACTTCCTTCCGGAAAGTTAGGGGGTGACCAGGCCAGCAGGGGGGCAGTTAGGGGGTGACCAGGCCAGCTGGGTGGCAGTTAGAGGGTATCCAGGCCAGCAGGGGGGCAGTTTGGGAGTGTCCAGGCTGGCAGGGGGTCAGTTAGGGGGCGACCAGGCTGGCTGGGGGGCAGTTAGGGGGCATCCAGGCTGTCAGGGGAGCAGTTAGGGGGTGATCAGGCAGGCAGGCAGGCAAGTGATTAGGAGCCAGTGGTCCCAGATTGCGAGAGGGATGTCCGACTGCCAGTTTAGGCCTGATCCCGCAGGGATTCAGACATCCCCCAAGGGGTTCTGGATTGGAGAGGGTGCAGACCAGGCTGAGGGATCTCCTCCCATGCATGAATTTCATGCACTGGGCCTCTAGTCTAATAATGTGAGATGTAATTCACATACCATATAACTCACTTATTTAAAGTATACAATCAATTCTTTTAGTATTTTCACAGCTTTATCACAATCTCATTTTAGAACATTTTTGTTCCCCCTATACCCATTAGTAGTGATACCCCGTCCCACCTCCCATTCCTAAGCTACTATTAAGCTACTTTGTATTTCTATAGATTTGCCTGTTCTGGACATTTCATGGGGTTAGAATCATATAACATAAGGTCTTTGTAACTGGTTTCTTTTAGCACAGTCTTTTCAAGGGTCACCTATGTTGTAGCATGTGTCAATTCTTCATTTGTTTTTATTGCTGAATAATATTCCATTGTGTGGATGTGTCGCAGTTTATCAGTTGATGGACATTTGGGTTGTTTCCTCCTTGTGGCTATCATGAATACTGAACAGCCTGTATATTACATAACCATATTTCATGCATAAGGTGTGAAATGTTATATACCAAAGTATTAGCGGTGATTATCTCTGATAATTAAATTATAGAGCAGGCTCTGACTCTCTGCTCTTTTCAACTAAGCTGATATGTTTAAAGACAAAGATAATTCTGTTGGCAGAAAACATACACTCTAGGAGGGAAATGCCAATCCATTTATTCATTTCTTCCTTTTTTTCTATTTGTCGATAAGCCTTCACCTACATTGTAAATATAAGATTACTTATTAACAAAAAATATTTACTTCAGAGCTTTTTATTACTTAACTCTTCTCCTTAAATGTACTTCTTATAATTTTTTGGACATGTATCTTTAGATAACTTCAGATTATAGAAACTATAGGTTATATATGTCTCCTTTTTTAGTTATACCTTTTAATTTTATTGCTTTCCAGAAGATGCAAAGAAAAAGTAGAATAATTTCGCATTCGTCATTAAGAAAAAATCATCATCAAGTTGCATATGACATCATGTGCATGAGTCAGTGGGAATCATTTCACTGCTTACTGAGGTTGAGGTTCATCCATCGTAGTTCACAAATAATGAGCACTCTTTTCTGGGAGATGGAGCTAAAATGCCTTGACTTATCAAAGTGATGTGACTTCTGGTAGAGGCATGATGCCCTTCTGAAGGTTAATCCCATCTCTGCAGGAAAACAGAACTGTTGGTCTAACTGGAGGAAGAGAGAATTCAGAGTTGAATTATTTACTTTAAAATTTCAATGATTGGCAAAGCTAAATATTATTGGTATGTATCTGTCTGAAATACAAAAAGCCAACATTTACTTGACTATATCTCTTTCTAGTCTGAGCATTCACTTTAATGGGTATATCGACAAACATAACTATACTAGAGGCCCAGTGCATGAAAATTCATGCACTGGAGGAGGGGGGTCCCTCAGCCCAGCCTGTCCCCTCTCAAAGTCTGGGGTGGGAGGCAACCTGGCGATCAGGGGAAGGCGACGCCCTCAGGGGTGGGAGGCGACCTGGTGATCAAGGGAAGGAGATGCCCCCATCACACCTCTGCTGCTGCCACTGCCGGCAGCGCAAACCTCAGCCAGCCCTGGTTACCTGAGCCTCGGGTGGCCCTGGGCAGCCTCCATCTGAGGCTTGCCTGTGCCACAGGCCAGCCCTGGGCGGCTGGGCGGCTGGGGGTCTGAGGCCTTCTGGAGGCAGGCGGGCTGAGGGGATTGAGTGCTGCCATCTTGTGACTGTGGGCACCGCCATCTTTGAGGGCAGGGCAGTCAATTAGCATATTACCTCCTTATTGGCTGTGGGTGCCGCCATCTTTGCAATGGTGTGAGGGTCAATTAGCATATTCCCTCTTTATTAGATAGGATTACATTCAGGAGAAACACAGGATATACTAATAAGAGCTTAAATAACCCTGTCATTTCCTTGAAGACGTGCAGTCTGAACCTTCATATCTTTGTGTGATAAGCTGAGCTTGTTCCACTTTGAGTGTGGCTTCCTTTCATGTCTTTGCTGGGTGGTACAACTCAGGCTCAGGCATAAATGCTGTTTTAAACTAGAAAAATATTATTTTCTTAATCTTTTTTACACAGGCCAGTTCTCTCTCATCTTTTTTTTTCCCTTTAGTGTCCTATGTTAACTGCCATATTTGGGTCCCTACATGTTCATCTTTTCTCTTTTTAATTTGGTCCATTTCTGTTCCTCGTCACTCTTTGTTCTGTTTTGCTGTTATAATCTTATAAATATTTTTATGTCTGAAACCATACATGCTAGGATACCAGTGAAGAAGACAAATACCGCTGTCTTCATGGAGGATATAGTCTAGCAAGGAGCACACATATTAAATGAGCAATTGGGAAAAAAAACAAACCAAAACAAAAACCATTAGTGTTAAGTACCAGGAAAGACAAGTAGTTATGGAGTCAGTGATGTCTTTCTAAAGAAAAGACTTATTCTGACTGGAGAATCAGAATATTTCTTTCTTTTTTCTTTTATTTACTTAATTGGGGTGACACTGGTTGACAAAATTATACAGGTTTTAAGTGCACAATTCTACAACATATCATCTATACACTGTATTGTGCATTCACCACCCCAAGTCAAGTATCCATCTATTACCATGTATCTCCTGTACCCTCCTCCACCTCCTCTTCCCCCTAGCAGTCACCACACTGTTCTTCATGTCCATGAGGTGTTTATTTTTTTTTGTTCAGTCCCTCCACCCCTTCCACCCAGCCTCACTCCACCCCAACAGCTGTCAGCCTGCTCTCTGTCTCTGAGTCTCTCTATTTTGCTTGTTAGTTCATTTTGTTCGTTAGAGTCCAAATATCAGTGAATACATAAGGTACTTGTCTTTCTCTCACTGGTTTCTTTCACTTAGCATAATGCTCTCCAGGTTCACTGATGCTGCTGTAAAGGTAGGATGACCTTCTTTTTCACAGCCAAGTAATATTCCATTGTGTAATGTCCCATAACTTTAATATATATATATTAAAGTTTTTAATATATATATATGTATATATGTATATGTATATATATGTATATATATATATATATATATATATATATATATACACATATATATACACACACACACACACACACACACACACACACACACACACACACACTAGAGGCCCAGTGCACAAA